TTTTTTTGTTCTTTCTTCTGAGTTTTCCTGAAACAGAGTTGTATCCAAGTGTTTGTCTTCAATTCCACCGATCCTGTCTTCCACCGTTTCAGATCTGCTTCTCAGCCCTTCTATGACATCGTCCATTTCTGAAATCTTGTTTATCTTTTGGATTTCTGATTGTTGTCTTTGTATAATTTCTATTTGTGAATTTATTTTGGCATTTTATTCCTGCATTATCTTCCTGAATTCTTCCAATTTTTTGTCTGCCTTTTCCATGAATTTGTCTATTTTTTCCTCATGTTTGTCAGCTTTTTGCCTTAGTTCTTGGAGAATTCTGAGTATTAGAGATTTGAATTCCCTATCAGGTAGTTCTAGCGCATTTTCTTCCACAGGAGATTCATCTGGTGTTTTATTTTGGACGCCTACTGGAACCATCCTGTCCTGTTTTTATAAATGTTTTGATATCGTCTGCTGTTTTCGGGGCATTCAGTAGTTATTTTTCTCATTTATTGATTGTAGATTTGGTTGTTTCATCCCTTTTTTTTGAAAAAAAAATTTGACTATGTCGGAGCAGGCGGACTGTGTGTTCTTTGTTGTTTGCTCGTCTGTGCGCTCCATACTTTTTGCCTCTTTCTCCAACTGGCAGGATCAGTCACTCAGATATGGTACGGCAGGGCAGGTGTAGCTGAAGAAGAGTTACTGGGACGGGTTGTTTGTGGCACTTACTACAGCCAGCAGAGCGGGTTGGTAATCAGTGCAGGGCAGGTTCCAGTAGGCCGTGCCTGCGCTACTTGGTGGTGTGATGTCAAGCGCACGGTGCAGGTAGGTAGGATGTAGTGGGGAGATTGTTATGTGTGGAGCTAAGATGGATATGGGAGAGAGTAGAGAGGAACAGGAGCCAAAAACATACAAACATACAAAAAAGAATGCTAGGGGAGCTTTCCGTTGGAGTGGAGAGATGAGAGACTATGAAATGGAGAAAAACAGAAACGGGAAGAGGAAGAAAAGAAAAGAATTAATAAATAAATATCAGAAAGGTTAAAGAACCGCAAAGTTCCCAGGGATCCCACCGATGCAGCTATGAGGTCTGGGGAAGTCGCTCTCAGGTGTTGCAGTACAGCCTGGCTAGAAGGCGTAGAGGTATACAATGCCAGGTATTCAGGAAACAGAAAGAAAAGGAAGATATAGAGAGACGAGAAACTGGGCAAAGAAGAAAGACAAAAAGGGAGAAAGGGGAAAAGAAAACAAAAAAAATTAAAAAAAAAAGAACAAGAAAGGCCCCCAAAGAAACAGAAAAAAAAAAAAAAACAGCGAAAAAAGAAATACGCTCAGGGATCCCTCTGCATGTCTGTGGAAGCCAAAGGGGGTCTCCTTGCCACATAGCTCTGCCTGGCCAGAAAGGGCTCCAAACTCAAGAAAAGGAAAAGAAAACAAACAAACAATTCAAAACAAACGAACAAAAGCCCCGGGATCCCACCAGTGCAGTAGCCCAGACCGGGAAGCAGCTCCACACACGAATGGAGCTCCGTAGCCCCTCAGGAAAAAGCAAAGATGGCGCATGAAGCCAGGCACTTGAGCAAAAGGAGGGGGAGGCGCCAAGAGGCAAGCAAGAAATCAAAAGAAGCAGAAAAAAAAAAAAGCAACACCAGCAGCCAACAAATGGGACTCAGAGAGCCAGCTAGTGCGGGCTGGTGTTTCTGGACAAGAGACTGTGTCCGTGGGAAGCGGAGGAGGCTGAGTGTTGGTGAAGAAGGGTAGAGAGTGGGAAAGCCTATATCACAAATTACCAGTGCTCTGCAGCCCCTCAGGAAGAAGCAAAGATGGCTCACAGAGGGAGGCACTCGAGCAAAAGGAGGGGGAGATTGTGAGAGGCAAGGAAGAAATGAAAAGAAGCGGAAAAAAGCAACACCAGCAGCCAACAAATGACACTCAGAGAGCCATCCGCTCGGGTGTGTGGCATCCCAGCAGCCAGCGCTTCCCGGTCAAGAGACCGTGGCCGCGGGAAGCAGAGGAGGCTGAGCTGGGGCAAAGGGGGGGGGGGTGGGAAAGCGCACACCGCAAATTACCGGTTGTTTTGTCTCCTGCTGGATGCTCCGTGAGGCTGCTTTCTCATACCCCCTGTTGGATCCTCGCTGCGTTAGCTGGTAGGGGACCTCTGTATGACTCTCTCCTTGCTCTCCATTCTCTGTCAGTTTTCTCACTCCATTTGGTGCTTGGCTGAGTTCTTTATCTCTTCATTTGATGTTTTAGGGTTTCAGGATTGTTGTATTCTCTGTTTGGCATAGTTTTTTGGATCTTTGCTGTGGAGGGATGGTGTGGTGCTTCTGACTGGAGCGCCATTTTGCTGGAACTCTCCCTGTTTGTTTTTTTAACATTCTGAAGGAACTCTTAAGCAAAGAGGCCATATTCTAGGTGTTGGTAGCTGTTAACAATTAAAGAAAAATAACATATTGAATAAAGATGGTTAATATATCATGTAGCCTGTATGGGAAAAAATAGGGAAGAGGGGAGGAGTAATCCTTATTATTTGCATGCTATCTTTAGTCTTCTGATTTTAATTAAATAAAATGCATTTAATTCTAGAAAAAAAAAACCTAAGAATTTTACTTTATAATCAGAGTTTAATTCCAAAGACTGTAACCATGCCTAGAAATACAAGCTTACTCTGAGACCTGCTATGATAGACAGACATAATCTATTTAACCCTTTCCACTGGAAAGATTGAAGATTATTTTCTAGGCTCTGTGATGTGTGAGCTTTTAACTCCATTGTTGCTAGATCCCAGTGTCAATAAGGCGCTGAAAGTGGGTTCAATCTGTTTAGGGGACATGGGCTGTTCCAAGAGCCCACCCTGATCAGGCTCTCTGGAATTACACAACATGAGCTCCAGTCCCAGCTCTGCTCCTTAGTAACCATGTGACCTTGAAACTCAGCTGAGCCTCCATTTCCTCATTGGTAAGTTAGAGATAATAAAGACACCATCCACATAAGGTAAAATAAAACTAATTCCTCAATAAATGTTAGCTTATCGATATCATCCTCATCTTTTAGTCCTCACAACAACCCTACAAGGTAGTGATTATCCCTACTTTACAAATAATGGAATTGAGTCACAGTGTAACTTGCTCAAAGACATACAGAAAATAAGAGTTGAACCAATTCTAACATACAAAACTTCACACTCTTCCTTCCATCTTGACAACCTCTTTAAAGCTATGTGATTGGAACTCAAAAATACTTTTTCGTCCATTCATTGAAAACCTGGACCTTGTTAATAATTTTTATTTCTCTGTGTTACTTACTCAAGTGTTGGGTCTGAAAGCAGCACCGAGGATGTGGCCCCTTTCTGGTCCTGGGCCCTCAGTTATTCTCAAGCAATAGACTTTTGCTATAAGAGAAAATTCCATCCAGGAAATCTGATCATATAGCTCTACACTAATGTTTGTGCAAAGCTGTGCCCCTTCCTCGGAATATTTGTAACATGTGTTAGTACCTGAGGTCACTAGTGGGCAGAGAGATCCACAATTAAATAAGGTCTAAGTGAAATATTTATAGGAGCTGGTGAAGGAACTGTTATAAGTGGGACCACATCCCTTGTGCCATATTATAATTCAGTGTTACTTCAGAGAGCAATTCATCTTTCCATATTTCAAAAAACATTGTGCTTTTTTGGTGGTCTCCAAAAAGGGAATTCATAAACATGTTTTGAGAGCCTACCATGTGCCTAGCACTATGTTTGGGGCTAGAGGGAGTCCATTCACAACCGTTACTGTGAGCTAATCTTCTAGTGGAGACAAATATCTAAATAATACAGAACAAAATAAGTACTGCAGTAAATGTACTAACAATGTGTACCTTTGTTTTCCCTGAGGCAAACAATGTCAGACAAATAGAAGGTTTTCAACATTTGTTTATTATTTTGAACAAAAGGAATGTGCTATCATCAAATAGAGAAGGTAACGATTTATTCAGACTGGGAAGTTTGGAGAAGGCCTCGTAGAAGATATGTTATTAGCCTTGAAGAATGAGTAAGATTTTGATTGGTGGAAAGGGAGAGATCCTCAAAGTGTGAAGAAGCAACTTTAGCAGAAGGCAGAGAAGTGTGTGAGTGCACTACATAGTCAGGGAACATCAGGTAGAGTTTGCAGCTAAGTGCAGATTTCATGGAAGACGATAGTGGAAGATGAGGGCATGAAGGTAAGCTGGAGCCAGTCATGGAGGAATTAAATGCCACAGAATGGAGTTTGAATTCTATTTTCTGAATAATAGGGAGGTGTTTGAATGACAGAGTAATATATTCATATCACTGGTTTTGGAAAATAATTCTGGGGATAATGTGAAGGATAGACTTAGGAGATGAAACCAGAAATAGGACCATCTGATAGTAAGCTCATGTATGGAACTTGTGGAGTACTGCGTCAGCAAGAGATGATGAGGCCTTCGGTAAAATAGTTGCTGAGAAAATCAAAGAGCATTCTGAGGGGCCAGAGGCCACTCACTAGGAAAAGAATTTGTCAACGAGTTGTCTACAGGAAGTTGGGGAGAATGAAAGAGTAGGGTCAAAGAAGAACTGATGATTCTAGCCAAGGTGACTTGCAGGAAGATGGTAAGTACCTCATTCCCTGACAAGACTGGAGTTTTGGGAAAATCTCATGTTTTAATTTCATGGTCATGCCTGGTTGAAATGCGTTAACAGCATTTTCCAACTACTTTCAATATTACAAGGCATTGTTTTCTATTGTTAAGGATGAGATCTGTTTGACAAAATTAAACGTTCAAAAGAAAGCTTAGGATGCCTTCTAATGGAGACCACATCTATGCCCGCTGTAGCTAGCAGCCTAGCAGTGAGCATATCAGACACCCATAGGAGACATCATAATCGCAGTGCCTGAGAGAGCTGCCTTGGGTAGTTATTTTGAGCCCTGAGCTGTATCTGCTTCAGAATATATTTCACCTTTCTCATTTTCTCTTTATTTTTCCTCCCCATGCTTACGCTTTTAGAGGAAAAGTCCGGTAAGAAATAATAAGTCCTTTCCTTGTTTTGGCCAAACATTATTTGTTCTGTTCATTTTTACTATCTGCATATCTAGTGACTGAATGTGTTTAACACCTAAACAAGGTTCTGAATTTTAAAAACAAACCTTTGGGAACAAGGGAAATTTCTACTTATGCCACCTGGGAAGAAAAGGAAGTCAGTTGCTAAGGGATTTTGCAACCCTGTTATTAAGGTGCACGGGGTAATTTTGTAAAGATTCACCTCTGTCTCAACCACAGGCACATGATCAAATGTTTTAGGTACTAAGTTTGTTTATTACAGCTTCCGCTTGAATTAGTCAAGCTATATATGCATACCATGAGCTAGGAAAAAAAAAAAAAACTTTAATTTTTTATTTAATGCATAGCGTGATAGCACCCTGCATGCTTGTGAAGCTGGCCTGGGAGAGAAGAGTTTTCTTTTTGGTGGTAAATCAGAAAGATACCCCGTCCCTCTGCTGGTTTTTGAAATATTCTATCCTGCACTAGAATTGTTGGAGACTGAAAAAGAGAATCTTTATAAAGTATAATAAATCACCCGTATGCTACTTTTCAGTATCAGTGAGTGATTTTCAGTGCAGCACAAACCGTGTATGATGTACCTACATAATTTTATTTTAGAGCAGCATTGAAACAGTTCTACTCAAAACTTCTCCTCGGTGGCCTGCTTTATAGGGAAAACGTTCCCAAGATGCTGATGCATGGCTGACACACGTGACCGCATCACTGAGAAATATGAAAATATTGTGTTTCCATGTTAACAAGCACCAAGAGGTGGTTGGTTTGTTCTGTTTCACTCACCTGAAGTGGATGCTGCAGTTAGTGCTAAAACCTCATATCCCACATCCATTGACCCAAACCTGGCACTCCCTGTACCACATGTCAGATACTAGACTCATAGAAAGTTCACGTGATAGGAGGGAGGGGAAGTGGAAGGCACAAGAAAAGCAAAAAGTGGACTCAAAATGTTATAGTTCATCAAAATGTGAGTCCCTGGTCTTTTTTCTTTTTCTTTCAAAAATAGACACTTATCATTATTATTATGACTAAACTAAACAGCCCACTTGTGAGTATTTGGGAAGTGGCTGTGTATTGTAGGCTATGTGACAGTACAGTATCCTTGGTGCACTTCAGTAACCTTTGCATCCTTTGAGTTTTAGCCTGTTTGTGTCTTTAAGTCTAAGATGCGTCTCTTGTAGGCAGCATATAGATGGATCATGCTTTTTTATCCAATCTGCCACTCTCCGTCTCTTTATTGGTCCATTAAGTCCATTTACATTCAGTGTGATTGTTGATAGGTATGAGCTTAGTGCTGTCATCCCAATATCTCTTTTTGTGTGTTGTTCACAGTTTCTTTGTTCTCAATTTTCTGTGCTGAGTTGTTTTTCTTTATGTATTTTTTTTTTCATCTTTTTCTTTGTTGTAGATTTTGTGTTTGCTGGGTCTTTATGTTTTTCTGCTTTTTTATTTTGATTTGTTGGATTGTTAGATTCCTTTGTGGTTACCTTAATATTTACCCCTGATTTTCTAAGTTTATACCAGTCTTTTATTGCTTTATATCACCTTAACTTCCCTCCATATAGAAAATCAATGTCTCCATTTTTTAAGTCCCTCTTTTTTTGTTTTAATATTATCCTCTTTTTTTTTTTTTTTACATATTGATA